GTGTCTTAATGAGACTTCTCCATCCCAAGGACAAAAACATGATTACAACTTTTGAAAACGACCTTAATTCACCCCACTCTGTGTTTATATATATATATGTATGTATTTATAGATTAGTTACATAAATAGGCTATATATATATATATATATATATATATATATATATATATATATATATATATATATAAAACACACACACACACATATACTGTTTCTACAAACATTGAATGGGTCGCTCTCAGGAGCTCAGTGACTCCAAGCGTGGTCCCGTGATAGGTGGCCACCTGGGCAATAAGTCCATCCGTGACATTTCCTGGCTACTAAATATTCCACGCTCAACTGTTAGTGGGATTATAACAAAGTGGAAGCCACTGGGAACAACAGCCACCAAGTGGTAGGCCACGTCACATGACAGGGCGGGGTCAGCGCATGCTGAAGCGCACAGTGCACAGAAGTCACCAACTGTCTGCAGAGTCAATAGCTAAAGACCTCCAAACTTGGTGCGGCCTTCAGATGAGCCCAACAACAGTGCGTAGAGAGCTTCATGGAATGGGTTTCCATGGCCAAGCAGCTGCATCCAAGCCTTCCATCACCAAGTGCAATGCAAAGCGTTGGATGCCGTGGTGTAAAGCACGCCGCTACTGGACTCTAGAGCAGAGGAGATGTGTTCTCTGGAGTGGCCAATCACGCTTCTGTTTGGCAATCCGATGGACGTGTCTGGGTTTGACGGTTTGCCAGGAGAACGGTACTTGCCTGACTGCATTGTGCCAAGTGTAAAGTTTGGTGGAGGGGGGATTATGGTGTGGGGTTGTTTTTCAGGGGTTGGACTTGGCCCCCTAGTTCCAGTGAAGGGAACTCTTAAGGTGACATTTTGGACAATTTCATGCCCCCAACTTTGTGGGAAGAGTTTGGGGATGGCCCCTTCCTGTTCCAACATGACTGCGCACCAGTGCACAAAGCAAGGTCCATAAAGACATGGAGGAGCCAGTTTGGGGTGGAGGAACTTGACTGTCCTGCACAGAGTCCTGACCTCAACCCCATAGAACAACTTTGGGATGAATTAGAGCGGAGACTGTGAGCCAGGCCTCCTCCCCCGACATCAGTGCCTGACCTGACAAATGTGCTTCTGGAAGAATGGTCCAACCTTCCCATAGACACCCTCCTAAACCTTGTGGACGGCCTTCCCAGAAGAGTTGAAGCTGTTATAGCTGCAAAGGGCGGGGCCAACTCAATATTGAACCCTACGGACTAAGACTGGGGGGCCATTAAAGGTCATGTGCGTGGAAAGGGCGGGGCCAACTCAATATTGAACCCTACGGACTAAGACTGGGGGCCATTAAAGGTCATGTGCGTGGAAAGGGCGGGGCCAACTCAATATTGAACCCTACGGACTAAGACTGGGGGGCCATTAAAGGTCATGTGCGTGGAAAGGGCGGGGGCCAACTCAATATTGAACCCTACGGACTAAGACTGGGGGGCCATTAAAGGTCATGTGCGTGGAAAGGGCGGGGCCAACTCAATATTGAACCCTACGGACTAAGACTGGGAGGCCATTAAAGGTCATGTGCGTGGAAAGGGCGGGGCCAACTCAATATTGAACCCTACGGACTAAGACTGGGAGGCCATTAAAGGTCATGTGCGTGGAAAGGGCGGGGCCAACTCAATATTGAACCCTACAGACTAAGACTGGTAGGCCATTAAAGAGTGTGTGTCTGTGTGTGTGCAAAATATATTTCGTGGTATCAGTTTAGGACACATGCAAACCCTTATCTTTGAACCTGTCAACCTAATCAAGAACATAGTTTTCACACATTTTACTTTAGTCACTACAGATGTTCGGTTGTAATTTATTTCCTATCAAGGTTGAATTTTTTTTGGTTTTTTTTTTTTTTTTTAACTCTGAAGAATGTCATTATCCTTCAAAAAATAATCCAGCCAAAAGCTGAACTTCAAAATGTATATTTTCTCTATTCTGAAATAATATAGAAGCTTCTAATTCTAACAACTACTGCTTAAAAAGTGATTCTAAAAAGGCATATATATATATATATATTTTTTTTAAACAACATATCTACAGTTGTGCTCAAAAGTTTCCCTCCCTGGCAGAAATTGTGAAATTTTGGCATGGATATTGAAAATCTGACTGATCTGCCAAAAAATGCTCTTTTATTGATGGATGATGATCATATGAAGCCATTTATTATCAGGTAGTTGTTTGGCTCCTTTTTAAATCCTAATAACAGAAATCACCCAATTGGCCTGGATCAGATCTCCGCCCCCACCCCGGATCAGAGGTCTCCGCCCCCCCGGATCAGAGGTCTCCGCCCCCCCCCCGGATCAGAGGTCTCCGCCCCCCCCCCCCGGATCAGAGGTCTCCGCCCCCCCCCCCCCCAGGATCAGAGGTCTCCCCCCCCCCCCCCCGGATCAGAGGTCTCCCCCCCCCCCGGATCAGAGGTCTCCGCCTCCGCCCCCCCCCGGATCAGAGGTCTCCCGCCCCCCCCCCCGGATCAGAGGTCTCCGCCCCCCCCGGATCAGAGGTCTCCGCCCCCCCCCCGGATCAGAGGTCTCCCGCCCCCCCCCCCCCCCCGGATCAGAGGTCTCAGCCCCCCCCGGATCAGAGGTCTCAGCCCCCCCGGATCAGAGGTCTCAGCCCCCCCCGGATCAGAGGTCTCAGCCCCCCCCGGATCAGAAGTCTCAGCCCCCCCGGATCAGAAGTCTCAGCCCCCCCGGATCAGAAGTCTCAGCCCCCCCCCGGATCAGAGGTCTCAGCCCCCCCGGATCAGAGGTCTCAGCCCCCCCGGATCAGAGGTCTCCGCCCCCCCGGATCAGAGGTCTCCGCCCCCCCCCGGATCAGAGGTCTCCGCCCCCCTGGATCAGAGGTCTCCGCCCCCAGAGGTCTCCGGATCAGAGGTCCGCGGATCCTCCCCCTGGATCAGAGGTCTCCCCCCCCTGGATCAGAGGTCTCCGCCCCCCCCCCTGGATCAGAGGTCTCCCCCCTGCCCCCTGGAATTTTTGGCCTTGGTACAGACACACAAGGTGACACACACGGGTTACAATGCCAATTAGAGGTTAATGTCCCACATCTGTGACTTTTTACATTGCAATCAGTGTCAGTGTATAAATAGTCAATGAGTTTGTTAGCTCTTACCTGGAAGCACTGACTAGGCCAGATACTGAGCCATGGGGATCAGAAAAGAACTGTCAAAAGTCCTGCGTAACAAGGTAATGGAACTTTATAAAGATGGAAAAGGACATAAAAAGAAGCCCAAAGCCTTGAATAGGCCGGTCAGTACTGTTAAATCACCTATTAAGTAGTGGAAAGTTCGGGGATCTCTTGATACCAAGCCAAGGTCAGGTAGACCAAGAAATATTGCAGCCACAACTGACAGAAGAATTGTCTGGGATTTAAAGAAAAAACCCCCCACAGGCAACCTCAAAAGAAATCCAGGCTGCTCTGTAAAAAGATGGTGAGGTTGTTTTTAAGGAGTACAATATGGTGATACGTGAACAAAAATGTACTATTTGGTCGAGGTGCCAGAAAGCTGCCTTTACTGCACCAATGCCACGGCTCAAAGGGTGAGCAGAGCAGTGACTATCCCCACCCCTCCCACCCCGCACTCACTGGAGCGCTGGGCTGTGGAGAGAGAGGGAACACTGGCTCAGGCTCTAAGCGGATTGCTGAGAGGCTGAGCCCGGTGCAGCTCCAAACTCTGGGGTGGATCCCGACTTTAAAGTCGGGATCTTTCCCCAGCCTGGACCGGCTTAGCGACTTCAGCCCGCTGTTGGCTAAAAAACGGTTCACAGGAGTCCACAACGAAGTGCACTCTTGTGATCCATAGAAGTAAAGCCAAAGTGGCTTTGGCTGTACGTCTCTTTAACCACTTCCCATCCGGCCCATGTACATAAACGGCCGGATGGGAGCACTGCAGGAGCGGGTGGCCATTTATAAAAGTCCTCCCGCATTCCCTGCCTGTGCGCACTCCCTGGGAACACTGATCGCTGTACGGGACACCTCTGTGTGTGAGGTTCCGATTATGTGATCACGGATTGGGCAACCAGAGATCACATGAAGAGTAGTAAGCAAGATGTCACTTCTGACATCATTGCTTACTACTTGTGAAATCAGAATGATCACAGAGATCACATGGTACAGGGCTATTCACAACAGCCTTGTACCATGTGACAAGCTGTGACCAATCACAGCTCTCACAGTATTTCTCAATGGCTGCCGAAATGCAGTCAGAGAGAAGCTTCTACAGCCTTTATGGGTGTAAAAGCAATCAGTGTAAAAAAAAAAAAAATCATCACCCCCTATGGTGATACTGTACTGCTAGGACAGTGTTTCTCAACTCCAGTCCTCATGGACCCCCAAACAGGTCATGTTTTCAGGATTTCCATTATTTTGCACAGGTGATTTGATCAGTTTCACTGCCTTAGTAATTACCACAGCTGTTTCATCTGAGGGAAATCCTGAAAACATGACCTGTTGGGGGTCCATGAGGACTGGAGTTGAGAAACACTGTGCTAGGGTGACCTTACGTAAAAAAAAAAAAAATAATTATATATATTATTATTATATATATATATATAATATATATATATATATATATATATATATATATATATAATTAAATTGTAAAAAAAATGTTCTTGAAAAATTATAATTTTTGGTTATAAACTAATTTGGGTTATTTTTTTTTACCATAAATATAGATGAATAAATGTTGGCCAAGATTTATGAAGAAAGATTATTCATTTGCAAAATTTTATAAGAACACCACTTTTTTTTTTTTCAAAATGTTTGGACTTTTTCATTTATATAGCAAAAAAATAAAAATCCCAGTGGTGAATAAACACCACCAAAAAAAACGTTTGTGTCTCAAAAAAAAAAAATGCTAAAAAAAAGTCATATGGGTACAGTATTGTATGACCGCGCAATTGTCGTTAAAAAGCATGATAGTGCTGAAAGCTGAAAATTAGCCTGGGCTGGAAGGGGGGTGAAAGTGTCCGGACTGGAAGGGGGGGGAAAGTGTCCGGACTGGAAGGGGGGTGAAAGTGTCCGGACTGGAAGGGGGGGGGGGGAAGCGTCCGGACTGGAAGGGGGGGGAAAGCGTCCGGACTGGAAGGGGGGGGAAAGTGTCCGGACTGGAAGGGGGGGGGGAAAGCGTCCGGACTGGAAGGGGGGGGAAAGGTGTCTGGACTGGAAGGGGGTGAAAGTGTCCGGACTGGAAGGGGGTGAAAGGTCCGTCTGGACTGGAAGGGGGGTGAAGGCGTCCGGACTGGAAGGGGTGGGAAGGTGTCTGGACTGGAAGGGGGTGGAAAGTGTCTGGACTGGAAATTATATATAAAAATATTATGGATAATAATAAGATTATTATAATTATTATAATATATTAAAATTTATATTTAAAGTTAAAATTATTATAGTTATTATTATTAAAAAATTTTAACTTATTATTATATAAAAATTAAATAAATTATTAAATTAAATAATTATTATTATATTTTATTATATTATTATATATATATTTTAATTTAATTATATTATAATATATTATATATTATTATTATTTAAAGTTATTATTTATTATTATTATTATATAATATTATATAATAAATTATAATATTAAAATTATATTAAAATTATTTTAAATTATTATTATTATTTTATTATTTTTATTTTATATATTATTATTATTATAAATTTTATATTTTATATAATTTATATATTATAATTTTATTATAATATTTTTAATTTAATATTAAAATTAATAAATTAAATAAAAATTATTATTATATTAATTAATTATTAAATATATTAATAATTAATTTAATTATTATTATTATTTATTAATTATTATATATTATTTTTATTATATTTATTAATATTTAAAAATTAAATATATTTAAATATATTTTATTATATTAATTATTAAATTAATTTATTATTTAATATAATTATTATATATATTTATTAAATTATAAATATTATTATTATTATATTATTAATTTTTATTATTTTATTATTAATAATTATATAAATTATTATTATAAATATTATATATTAAAAAAAAATATATTATATTATTATAAATTATTATTATTATAATTATTATTATTATAGTTAATTAATATTATAGTTATTATTATTATTATAGTTATTATTATTATAATTTATTAATTATTATAAAAAATTATTATTATTTTAAATTATTATATTATTATTATTATAGTTATTATTATTATAGTTATTATCTTTGTGTCTCCTGGAAGTTGGAGGATTTTTGTGCTGTGATCAAACAATTCATTATGAGAGAAGTGGGGAAGCCCCCTGCCCCCCTCTCCGCAGGCGGCCATGTCATTGGCAGGACAATGGGCACAACAGCTGTGTCAGGTCAGCGGATTGTGAAAGACAGGACTGGGAGGGGGGGGGGGCCATGATGGAGATTAACAGGCACACAATAATGGAGCCTGCACCTGCCTTCACACTCTGCTCTCCCCCCCCCCCCCCCCCCCCCCACCCGGCTTCACACGTCAGCCAACACTCCTAGCAGGCAGCACACGGCTGGTACTTGTATGCCGTCCCCAAGTCACAGCCAGCTCCTGCCACAGAGATCTTCTGCCAAGAGGGGGAAAAATCCAATTAAATCCAATTATTAAATCCAATGAGCGCCCGGCCCTCCCCCCTTTTATAAAAGTACTGCAGCATAATCCAGAACCTTCTATGTAGTCCTCCTTTGTCCGGATTACTTTTTCTAAGGGCCCCTTAACTGAAAATCATGGGGCGGCCAATGCAGCAAAATGTCTCCGTGTAACGCATCGCATCACGTCGCAATATGGCGCATTACATGGGCTTTAACGTGTTGGGGTGCTATTAAACGTCTTGCCACCCATGTGACGTGTGGCGGTAATGAGTGGGCTTTAACATGTTGGGTTGCTATTAATTGTCTTGCCACCCATGTAACACATATGTGTGGTGGGAAAGGGTGGGCTTTAACGTGTTGTGGTGCTATTAAACATCTTGGCACCCATGTGACGTGTGGTGGGAAAGGGTGGGCTTTAACGTGTTTTCGGTTGCTATTAACGTCTTGCCACCCATGTGACGTGTGGAGAGAAGGGGTGGGCTTTGACGTGTTGGGGTACTATTAAAATGTCTTGCCACCCATGTGACGTGTGGTGGGAAGGGGCGTGCTTTAATGTGTTGGGTTGCTATTAAACGTCTTGCCATCCATGTGACGTGTGGAAAGAAGGGGTGGGCTTTAACGTGTTGGGGTGCTATTAAACATCTTGCCACCCATGTGACGTGTGTCGGTAATGGGCGGGCTTTAACGTGTTTTCGGTTGCTATTACACGTCTTGGCACCAATGTGACGTGAGGTGGGAAGGGGTGGGCTTTGACGTGTTGGGGTGCTATTTAACGTCTTGCCACCCATGTAACCGTGTGTGGTGGGAAAGGGTGGGCTTTAAAGGGTTGGGGTGCTATTAAACATCTTGCCTCCCACGTATCACATGTGTGAGGTGGGAAGGGGTGGGCTTTAACGTCCACACGCCGCTCACATACGTCACTGGGTGGCAGGCTGCGCCAAGATTACTCTCCCGGCATAGAGACTGCATTGTGACGAGAGCTCCTGGTCCCCGCTAATGATTGGTAGCCGGTGGGACCAGTTCCTGTTCATGTGACCACATGAACGGCCGATCTTTCCTTCCCCGTGGCATTCATGACTTTTTTTTTTGTGAAGGGGACAACAAATTGCAACGCAAAAGTCTAAATGGGCCCTCAAGGAATTAAAAGGTTCATTCACAAAAAAAAAAAAAAAAAAAAAAAAAAAAAAAAAAAACCTATGTGGGTGTTTGTAGATAAATATATATATAGTTGTAGTCCGTTTATGTACCTCATGAAGTCTGACTAGAAAACTCCCAGGACGTTGCTAGGACGTTGCTAAGGGAGGCCTAGTCTTTACTGCTCACCTCCAGCATCACAGGAGTGAGCTTTGTTTTCTGATTCAATCCCCCATCACATGCTCTTTCCCCCGATTTATTAATTTCAGGTACTTATATATCGCTGTCAATTTACGCCGCACTTTCCATATATATTGTACATTCACATCAGTCCCCGCCCCCGAGGGGTGTACAATCTAAGGTCCCTAACTGACATCCATACATACACATACTAGGGACAATTTAGACAGGAGACAATTAACCTACCAGCATGTCTTTGTAGTGTGGAAGGAAAGCGGAGTACCCGGGGGAAAGCGGAGTACCCGGGGGGGGAAAGCGGAGTACCCGGGGGGAAAGCGGAGTACCCGGGGGAAAGCGGAGTACCCGGGGGAAAGCGGAGTACCCGGGGGAAAGCGGAGTACCCGGGGGAAAGCGGAGTACCCGGGGGAAAGCGGAGTACCCGGGGGAAAGCGGAGTACCCGGGGGAAAGCGGAGTACCCGGAGGAAAGCGGAGTACCGGAGTACCCGGAGCGAGTAACGGAGGAAAGCGGAGTACCCCGGAGGAAAAGCGGAGTACCCGGAGGAAAGCGGAGTACCCGGAGGAAAGCGGAGTACCCAGAGGAAAGCGGAGTACCCAGAGGAAAGCGGAGTACCCAGAGGAAAGCGGAGTACCCAGAGGAAAGCGGAGTACCCAGAGGAAAGCGGAAGTACCCAGAGGAAAGCGGAGTACCCAGAGGAAAGCGGAGTACCCAGAGGAAAGCCACGCAGGCACAGGGAGAACATGCATACTCCAGGCAGGTGGTGCCAATTCATGGTGGAGATCCTTTTTGCATGGATATTCTACTCTAGACACACATATTGGAATGATATTTGTATTGTTCCTCTTGTTTTATGGGCACTGCACTTGCGTTCGGGTTCATTTGAAGGGTTAAATCAGGCGGTGAGGAATCAACTGATTGCGTCCTCACTGGAACTCCAGCCCTTCCTTGTTTCCCACACATTTATTTATTTCAGGTACTTATATAGCGCCATCAATGTACTCAGCGCTTTACATATATATTGTACATTCACATCAGTCCCCGCCCCCCCGAGGGGCGTACAATCTAAGGCCCCTAACTCACATTCATACATACACATACTAGGGACAATGTAGACAGGAGCCAATTCACCTACCAGCATGTTTTTGGAGTGTGGGAGGAAACCAGAGTACCCAGAGGAAACCCACGCAGGCACGGGGAGAACATGCAAACTCCAGGCAGGTGGTGCCGTGGTTGGGATTCGACTCATCAACCCGAGTACTGCCAGGCAGAAGTGCTAACCATTTCGCCCCTGTGCTGCCCATATAACAGCATCTGAGAGCTCACTCCTGTGATGGTGGGGGTGAGTAGTAATGACTAGGGCCTCACCTAGCAACGTCCTAGCAACGTCCTGGGAGTATTCCAGCCAGGCTTGGGGAGGTATGTAAATGGCCTACATCTATAGCAAGGGTATTACTCAACTTTAGCCATAGCTGCACAATTTGTTTTTATCCACAGGTGCCCCTTACCTGCATAGGCAGTCTCTGGGTGAAGGTGAACTAACCCTTTAAAAAAGTTTTTTTCATGTACACATGAATCTAACCAGCCTAGACTGGAACCAGTATACACTAATAATGCAGCATGCAAAGTAATGTGCAAATGCAACACTTTGAGGTATTCATTACTTTTTAGAGATCACGGTATTCCCCTTGCACCGCCCCCCACCCCCACCCCACCACAATGCCTTCATCTGCTTTTCTCTGCAGTAGGATGGCACTTTGTTCAGGCAACATCCAGGGTCACCATCTACTCCCTGACTGATATGCCAGGCGTGTAAATCCTGATGCCTGTGCAGTTCTTTACTGTGTTTACAAATGTTTGACACAGATCAGCCCCTGCTGCAAAGTTACAATGTACAGTCTGACCACTTTAGGAGGAGACTGGGGAAATGCTTCCTCCTCTCTGCAGCAGACTGATGACATCAAGGACCAGAACTAAAGGAAGGCTTTTTAGTAATATAAGTTTTTTGTTTGTTTTTTTTAAATAATGTTGCTGTATATTGTGACACGTCAAGAATTAAAAGCAGAGTTCCAGCCCACGCTACCCCCCCCCTGCGGGGAAAAAAAAAAAAAAAAAAAGCAGTCAGAAGAGTTTTCCAAACATCCCATATACAAGGAGCCCTATAGCAGAAATTGTCTGAAGAAACCAAGCACAAAACTAAAGGCTGCTATGGTAACCATGAGTCTGTCCTGAACCCTTCGCTCTCTGGATGTACTGCATACGTTGAA